CGCATTCTCTTGTGGCCTGATTGGCCGCATTGGGATAACATCACGCGACCAGCTGACCCTTGGGTCTTGTGCCTTACGTACGCTCGTGTGCGGGCATGAGTGCGTGCTGTCTAAGTTCATCTCGCGTGGACAATCATCGCTAAGCTCGACGCCTTAGGAGAACCTCCAAACGTTGCTAGCATTTGGTCCGGCTAATATCCTAACACATGTTACTTAACCAACCGTCCGGAGCTTAGCTTAACTGGCCTTGATTGGATCGAGAAACTCGGTCTCCCGAATATGCTAAACAACCGCATTTGCAATGGTGTGCATTCAACTTGGCCAAATCTTGCCAAATCGAATCAGCTAGCAACAGAGCTGATGTCGACGATTCCACCTCCTGCTAAATCGATTCAGCTGGCGACAAAGCTGATGTCGACGATTGCACCTCCTGCCGAGGTACGCAAGGAAGAGGAACTAGGAGAGAAAGCACCAGCGGCTTTCGAGCCCCATCAAACACTTGGTCGGTCAACCCGCAGCAGCGCGCGAAAAAGATGTGGTGCCCCAACAAATCCCCCATCATCTTCTCCCAGGACTGCTGTCGACTCCCCAAACCTCTCCATGAGGGATCCCACTGCTAAAAAGTCACAAACTTCAGCCTCTAGGCGATGAAGCTGGAAAAGAATGCGAACGGTTCCGTCATAAGTGAACCCACAACTTAAATCTAACAATTTGTCTTCAGAGGGAGGTTTAAGGACGGCCTAGCGAACAGCCTTAGCAAGCAGTAGTTTGTAAGCCATAGGCGCACTCCAAGCCGGCTATCGATCGGCCTACACTGGCCAACGTACACAAGCCGTCAATCAATTGATAATTCAGAATTCAAACTACAGTCATTCACTGAGCCAACAACAAATGGGACCGGCCACTATTAAAGAAGAGAATCTGATTGGTTTGTGGACCTATCGTACACACTTTCGTATACCTAAAGTTTTTTACCTTGGACACTCATAGACTTATGCCTGCTTCACACTTCTTGTTGCGTTCTCTCTTTGGGGGCTCACATGAGGCGTAATAAAACGGCAAATATGTTGGCCTGGGCTCCAATTCAAAAATTCGGCGACGCATTGCGCGGTGATATCTCGGCCTGTGCTTCTGTTACAGCACACAGTATCTATAGAAAGTAGCAGTCATTGTCAATGCATAGGAAAGTGGAGGAACGGGGGCAGGGGCAGGAAGGGATGAGCAATTATTGTGCATGTTGATGCGTATTAACCTCAGTTAAGATGTTTCCTATTGGGTTCTCTTGTTCGCGCTTGTGCAGCAGCCATCGACCTTAGCCGTCTTTTCAGACCGATAACAACCAGCTGGCCTTCCTGGATGTCCTCGTTGGCCTCAAAGACGGTGGTGGCGTAAAAACTAAACTGTTCAGGAAGGCAAACAACACTATGCAAGTCCTGAACTAAAACAGCAACTACCCAATTGGCCACAAACGCAGCTGCATACGGGCGCTTTACCGGCGTGTTGAGACGCATTGCAGCGAAGTGGAAGACAAAGTTGCTGAATTACAACATCTTCGACGAATATTGAGAGCGAATGGACATCTGCGCAACTTTGTCAACCGATACATACGCAAACGATAGAAGAAGCCACACCCAACTGGCCCAAAAGTTTA